GTGTGTGTGTGTGTGTGTGTGTGTGTGTGTGTGTGTGTGTGTGTGTGTTTGGGGTAAAACTGAAGAGGCATTGTTTGCTCGTGACTTTTCCACAGAGCACTGAGGTGGCGTCTCTCACCGGCACACAAACACCTTGGGACACACGGTACAAATACTGCAGGCAAACACTGTCATACGTACGATTTCTTAATTACATTCACGCCTTTTTGCTCTTTTTTTTGTTTGTTTTGTTTAGTTTTTTTTACCCTCAACAAACACGTAAACACAGACACAGAGAGGACTGGGGACGGACTGAGGGAGGGTCCGATCCGCCCCCACCCCCGACAAGGTGAAAATACTCCAGAGGCTTTGAAATGGCAGCGACTCCTCAGGTTCGCTCCTCCGTCAGTTCCCAGAGAAGTGAGGAAGAAGAGGAGGAGGTGGGGGTGGGGGCGTCAGATGAAAGGATTTCTCGACGTCCCTCTGCTGGGGTAAACATTCCCCTGYGAGACAAAGAAAAAAACGGAGTGAGAAACGTTGTGAAAAAAATGACCAGTCAGTCCCCGTCTTTGCCCCCCCCCCTCAGTGTAAACTCACCGTGAATGGGTTCACAGACATGGGCCGGGGAACTTTAGACTGAGAGTCGGACGCAGGGAAGGAGGCGAAACCTGTGAGCGTGACATAAAAAGTAAATAAAAAWATAAAMCCATGAGTGGTGTCAGTGTAGCTGAAATAAGACCCCACTGGAGCTGTGTTTCAGCTCCGGGTGTGTCGGCTGGTATTTCTGGAACTCTGCGTCTCGCAGCGTGGAAACTGAGAACGCTTTGAGRCTCTCTGAGATACTGGCTGAGAAAATCCAAACGTTAAAATGGACGGATGGAAGAAAATGACCGTAACGTTGAAACACCTGACCAAGTGGTGGAAGGAAAACGAAAATCGTTACAGACGTTTCCATGTCAGAAGAAACAAAGCTCACCGTTGGCTTCTTGAGTCGAGGATGATTCGTGAGGAAATGCATTCTGGGTGGCAGCTGATGGAAAGGAAGCTGCAGGAGGAAAAACGGAGGTGGGCGAAGTTACAAACACGCCAGAGTCACCTGGAGACAAGAACCACACACAATTCAGTGCTAAAATACATTTTTTATTGTCTGTCAAACTGTTATCTTTGCTATTTTCCATTAATTTACTCAAAGAAATGAAAAAAATGTTTTGTGAATAAACAAACTAGGCAGGTAGACATAAGTAATTTGTAAATTATAGTAAATAGTAAACAACTTTGTTCCTAGCTAGCTAGTACTTCAACCAGTAGCTAGCTAAAGTCCAAGATAGCTAGTAAAAAAAAATCACTAGCTATCCACGTTACCTACTTGCTAGTAAATATCATTTAGCTAGCTAGTACTTCAGCTAATAGCTAAAGTACAAGATAGCTTGTAAAAACTACTTGTAAAAAGTAACTAGTTATCCTAGCTACCTACTAGCTCGTAAATAATTTTATTACAAATAAGTTAGCGCTTCAGCTAGTAGCTAACACAAGGTCGTAAAAAAACTACTAGTTATCCTAGCTACCTACTACTATAGTAGATATCTTTGTTGCTAGATAGTTAGTACTTCAGTTAGTAGCTAGCTTAAGTACAAGATAGCTTGTAAAAAACTACCTGTAAAATATCCTGATGCATCTCAGTAATCCAGGTAAAAAATCAAAAGGAAAAAAATTGTATAGGTCTTCTGGACGGGTTCTTCTTTAATGAAACGTTTCGTCTCTCCTCCAAGAGACTTCTTCAGTCTGAGAGTTTCAGGCAAAATTCAGGCTTTTAAGCACTGCCTCCATGTGACTGATACTCACATCACATGGCTATCGTTGACACCTAATTAACATCTATTGTTAACAGGGGGTGGAGTGATACTGCCAATAGCAGCACTGTAGGAGGGGGACAACTGAAAACGGAGGCCTCCACCTCTGTTTAATGATGGACGGTCTTTCTTCACAAAAATGGCTTCTTTTACTCCTCTCTCAAACCAACGTTCCTCTCTATCAAGAATAAGAAAGACCGTTAGAAGAAAGATCATTAAACAGAGGTGGAGGCCTCCGTTTTCAGTTGTCCTCCTCCTACAGCGCCGCTATTGCCAGTATCACTCCACCCCCTGTTAACAATAAGTGTTAATTAGGTGTCAATGATAGCCATGTGATGTGAGTATCAGTCACATCACAAAATCCTGAATTTTGCCTGAAACAGGCTGAAGTCTCTTGGAGGAGAGACGAAACGTTTCATTAAAGAAGAAACCGTCCAGAGGACCTATACAATTTTTTTTCTTTTTGATTTTTTAACTGGATTACTGAGATGCATCAGGACATCTAACTAATATACAAGATAAAAACCTACTAGTAACAAAGTTACTAGTTATTCTGGCTACTAGGGTTGGGCGATATTGGCAAAAAAATTAATCACGATTAATTGTGGTGTTTAGCCGATAACGATTAATATGACAATTATTCCCCTGGAGTCCCTGGACACCCTTATGTCCTRGTCACATGACCAATTTAGTGGGAAATATTTGCTCTTCGTAAAAATCTTTTTCAAACTGTGTCAAAATCACAGACTTCAGGCTATACTTCAAATTTTAAATTGTGTTGATAAATAAATTACAGAACTTTTGTTTAAATGTTCGTCATACTTGAAGCGGAGAGGAGCACCGAGCGGACTGACCGGGGAAATATCCAGTCAGTCCGCCTGGTGGCACTAATCATATTAATCATCAAGTGCCAAAAAATAATCGATTCATGTTTTTCTGATGATTAATTGCACACGATACGATTATGCCCAACCCTACTGGCTACTATATTGTAAATAACTTTGTTACAAGTTAGATAACCTTTCAGCTAATTGCTAATTAAAATACAAGCTAGCTAATAAAAAGCTACTAATAATAAAGTTACTAGCTATCCATGTCACATAATAGCTAGTAAATAACGTTGTTGCTAGCTAGTAGTGCAGCCAGTATAAAGTACAACCTGTAAAACTCATTGAAGGTTTTTATTTACAGCAGTTTTTTTTTTTTTTTACAAAAAATCTTCCTACAACATAATTTAAAAAAAACGTCTTTGATCACAGTTTATATTTGAGTTTTTAAGGACAGGTGAGCTACCGGAGCTGTCAGTTTCCATTAAAAATAAATCAAGCAGGGATGAAGCTGCAGCAGAACTTGTGAAAACCTCGAAGGCTTACCTCCTGAGGCGGTGCTGAAGGGGTTACTGGGGGAGAGGGCAACAGGTTGCTGGGAGGCCGACCCGGCGCTGGAGCTGAACGGGTTGGGGAAATCTGAGACACACAAAGAGACGTGAGGAGGAGGTGAAAGAAGACAGGGATAACTCACTGTGGGGGGAAACATTCCTGCCTATTCACATGAAGGGGGCTGTAACAGAAATGATCAATGAAGCTGGTGCTTACTTCCAAAAGTCTGAGAGCTGGAAACCGAATCAACACCAGGAGAACTAAGGAGAAAAAAAAAGAATCAATTTTACTTTGAAATTTAAAATCATTCATCGTTTGTCAAGTTTTACAAACACTTGTCTTCATACCTAGCAGGACTGGAGCTGGAGGAGAGCCTGCTGCCGAAGATGGCGCTGTACTGTGGAGGGCCACCAGGTGGAGCTGCACACAAACATTTCACACACACACACACACACACACACACACACACACAC